TGAATGTGCCAGAGGCCGTACAGCACGACAGTGTCATCAAGGTCTTCAAGAGGCTTGCGGGGAATCTGCATTGCCTTACAGAACAGTGGCAAGGTGGGTAAAAGCCTTCAATGAGGGATGCCAAAATGTGGCAGACATGCGCCGGCCAGGTCATCCTAGTGTCAGAGAAGAAGAAGTGTATGCTCTTTCCATGTTGCTGGAGAATGATCGACGCCATACAATTTGTGGGCTGGCCTGAGAGACAGGATTAGCGCATACGACTGTGCTTCACATTCTGAAGGAATGCCTGGGCATGAGAAAAATTGCATCATGATGGGTTCCGCATGATTTGACAGAAATGCAGAAATGGTTATGATACAACCCTGCTTGTAACCACATGGAGTGCTATGAATGCAAAGGAGAGGATTTCTTAAGCTGTATAATTATGCTGGATGAGACATGGGCCAAATTGTACAAGCCACAAATAAAACACCAGTTGATTGAATGGCGCCATTACAGGTCACCACAAAAATCAAAATTTCGTCAGAACCCCAGCAATGTGAAAGTTATGGTGATTCTCATGTACGACTGTGATGGTGTTATCCTAACGCATACCATTCCCTGACAGCACACTGTCAATGCGCAGTATTACTGTTCATTTTTGGAACGCAACCTGCAATCAGCTTTGAGAAAGAAGCGGCAACACTTTCTGCAGAACCCACCCATCATTTTGCTGGACAATGCTCGGCTTCATGCAACACATGCTTTGACTGATTTGTTTGATCGATGGGGCTGGGAAGTGCTGTACCATCCACCATACTCCCCGGACTTAAGCGCTTGTGACTTCGACTTGATTCTTAAGATGAAGGAACCACTTTGTGGCATTCGCTTCAGAACTGTTACAGGGATTCTTCAGGCAGTAGACCGCTCCATTCGAACTATCACCACAACAGGCACTGCTAAAGGTATCCTATGACTTCCACATTGCTGGCAACAGGGTGTACACAGTGCTGGTGACTACATTGAAGGACAGTAAAACTTCGAAACATGCATCTATTTTGTATCAGTTGTAAATAAATAGTTGCCACTATTAAAGCTCCAATCCTCGTATTTCTTCTGATGATAATGGTGAATCTCTGTGAAGTAAATGATGTCACTGTTATGTGTTGTTCCTCATTCAAAATATCTGTTTATGCTGGTGAAACATATGTTTCTGTGATCATGGCTGATATATGCAAAGCAGTATCATTTTACCTGGGAGAATTTAGTTTTAATCCTTTTATGTTCAGTTTTCCTACACAGCTGATGCTTCTAAATTGGGTTCTTGAAGTGTGTTATAAAAGAAAAAATACCTTCAGAATGATTTATCCTTACCATCTGCTGCTGAGATATTGCATGGTGGTTGTTCAGTAAGTAAGGTTCCACGGGTCATATAAATGAAATGAGAAGTCATTACAACATTAAATGTAGTACATTTATTACACTGAAATATCATTGTTTTTCAACACAGTCCTCAAGTTCATTGATGCAGTTGGCCCACCTTGGCAGAAGTTTGAAAATTCTGCCACTGTAGAAATTGTGCTCTTGCATTTGCAGCCATTCACCAACAGACATTTCCACCTCGTTTTTCTGAAATCAGCAACCTCCCAAGTGTTGCCAATTGTTACATGTTACCCCTACCCCTACCAAGGGCTATCATCTACCAAAGAAATAATGCTTGATTCCCCTAGGTGTTACAGGCTAGGGAACCTTATGGATTGAACATCCATTGTATTCCTACAATAATATGCCTTGAAAGGAACATTGGCTCTTTGGTCCAGTGATTGAAGAAGTGATGTCATGTTTGCCAATAAAGAATCTACTCTAAGAGAGGATTGCTAAATGGTGACATTTTGTGGGTTTCATCCATTTGTAACAAAGCTGTTTTAGCCTACTTTCCTTATTTTGAAAAAAAATAAATGTAGGCTTATGGTACCACCTTGCTGTCTGTATGTCTGTATGTGTATTCCTGCTTCAACAACTATTGAATGCATAAACCAATCTTTATGAAACTCTGTGTATGTATCATATCACGTGAGCCCATTTCAATGGAACACTTCATAAATACCTCCCACCAGTAATACCAGCATTACAGCCCCTTAAATTGCTGAGCAGCCTTAAGCAGGGAGCAATGTGAAATGATGCTTGAAAGCTGGAATAGTGAAGCCAGAAGAGACAGCCATTGCTATGCGGCAGTTTGGTAAACATGTTCCCATGTACTTAGTGTTCATTCACTTGGATGGATGTAACCAAACATCATACAGTTATGGGTGTACTTACCTTCTGTATGTCATATAAACTAAATTAAATTATTAGTTTCACTGTTGCTGAACAATCACTTATTTCATAACATGTGGACTGCTTACATTAAAAAAAAATATGTTAATTTGTTGTATAACTGTGTATCTTGCTAAATGATAATTTTCATAGCTTCCTGTATAATGTAACAGTAATAAAAGTATTGTTTTGTAAGCTGAGAATGGGCAAGAATCTGTGCACATCTGTGTTTCTTGACACATTGGTAATACCCACAGTTGGCTTCTAGAATGACTGCGCCCATAAAAGGAAAATATAATTGTGAAGTTATCGAGAGGCTCGGTGTCTGCTGGGAAGTGTTCTCTCTCTTCTGCTGTGTAGCCTGGTCATGGATGATCTGCTTTGGGAGCTCAACAGTAAAGGTCATTTCACAGTAGGATATGCTGACGATATAGCAATCATAATAAATAGGAAATTCCCTTATACTGTGTCAGAGGTCTTACAAACAGCCCTGCATACACTTCAGCAGTGGTGCAAAAGAACAAACTTGTCTATCAATCCAAACAAGATGGTAATTACTCGTATACCCTTTACTAGGAGGAGGAATATCAAGTGGCTTAAGGAACCAATCCTCTTCAGTCAAGTGATCCGGCTATCCAGTGAAGTCAAATACCTTGGAATAACATTAGACAAGGGACGGACATGGAAAAAACAGCTGGACAACGCTATTAACAAGGACTATAAGGCCTTCTGGACATGCAGAGGCACATTTTGGAAAAACCTGGGACTGAAACCAAAGGTGGTGCATTGGATATACACTGCTGTAGTAAGACCCATAATTACCTATGCTGCCACTATATGGTGATCTAGAGTTAAACTTAAAAACAAGTCAGGCTGAACTAAGCAAATTGCAAAAGACGGCCTGCTTGGGAATTATGGGAGCAATGAGAACAGCTCCAACAGCTGCAATGGAAATCCTACCAGGACTCCCCCCACTGCATCTGCAGATGGAAGGAGAGGCCAAGTTAGGAAATTACAGATTATATTACAGTGATCAATGGAGACCTAAATCTGAAGGTTTTGGACACGCATACACAATTCAGGACATGAAAAAGGAACCCATCCTACAGATGAGATCTGATAAAATGATACCGAAACATGTCTATGATAAACCCTTCATGATCAGATTTCTTGATAGAAGTGAATGGAAAGAGTTTTCAACCCGATAGAAAGGGGGGACTAATCTGGTATACAGATGGTTCCAAGACAGACAAAGGCACTGGAGCTGGAGCGTATTGTGATGGAACAGGGTGGAAACATAGTTTCAGCCTTGGTCGGTATACGACAGTATTCCAGGCAGAAGTGTATGCCATTAAGGCATGCACAGTTGAGAATTAGATAGAAACTACAAAAATAGGAATATCTATATTCTATCAGATAGTCAAGCTGCAATCAAAGCACTTGGTACACACCAGATCACTTCAAAATTGGTTTGGGTAGGATTACTTACTGGACACTGCCACCTAAAAGGGCACCTTTACAAACTCAGGCTGACTTGTGAAAGGTGCCTACAAGAAGATGAATCAGCCACACACATCTTATGTGACTGTGAGGCCATAGCTTACATAAGATTTCGTCACCTGGGCCAGTTCTTCATGGAACCAAGTGACTTTTATGACGCCCCCATAAATAAAGTCCTACATTTCATTTGAAGTGTAGGATTAATAAAGGGTTAATCCAAAGGGGAAGCACAATAGATCATTGAAGGTCACAGTGCGAGGGCAGATTTCTATATCTCACCCCTCATACTCATACTCATTTCAAGAGGCTCAGTCTGAATTCAGTCATAGTTGAATATGGAAAGCTACAGTGGACATGTATGTGGCGAAGCAGACATGAAAGAGTGCATGCAGTGAATCATTAATTCACTGCAAGTCAAAAGAAGAGGACATTGCAGTGGCATATGGTGAAATAGTGATGGACAAGAAAGAACTGATATTAAGGCCATAAGTGTGTGGGCATCACCTCTTCACTGCGACCAGGCAACCGACGTAGTTGCCACAAATCTCCTGCGACCAGGCAACTGATGTAGTTGCCGCAAGTCTCCAGCGACCATGCTCTGCGAACAGGCAACTGACATAGTTGCTGCAAGTCTCCAGCGACCACGCTTTGTTACCTGCCGCAACTCTCCAGCGCACGCACAGTGGAACAAATGGCCCTTTTCAGGGCCTGCAAACTTTCCCAAGTGGTTGTCTATTGCAGTATTGACAAATCCCACATTGCTGACCCCGACATGATGATCTAGAGGTGGGTTGGACATCGAGTGCTGTATAAATATGAATGTTGACAGCAATGTATGACTTTGATTTAGGAGTGAGTATTGTCTGTTAGACTGGCGAAACAGCCTGTAAGTATGTGGGATGTTCCCACAAGTGGTTACTGACAGTGAGATAGTGATTTTTTCCAAATAATAATAAGCATTACATACAGTATGTTGTACAGCAAGATATTACTGTAGGCCTATATGAATCATATGTGACATGAAACCAGACTCAAACATAAATCAGATTGGATCATTGTCAGGAAAGAAAACTGGCTTCATTTGCTTAGTACACTGATGGGGAAAGGTTTAAGATCATACTTTCTGTACTAACCTAACATTCAACCTCTGTTGTCTTGTAGATTATGGGTTGGTCAAGAAAAGCCCAGACCTGTGGCCTTCAGATGATACCCATTCCAGCTGACCCGCTAGCATTACCTTTCACTCACAAGTCAGATCCATTAAGAGGTCCAATATTTATACCTCTGGATACAGAGTGCCTCATGGGTAAAAAGAGCTATTTGTTTGAAGGTAAGTACCATTATATCTTTAATAGATCTTAGCATATAGGTTTTATGTACATTTTGTCTGTCATGTATGAAATGGGTACATAATGGAAGATACCATGCTTACTTACTTCATCGCCTAGAACTGGTAACAGATATTAATTAAATTTCAATAAAAGAACTCATTCAAAATGTGCCTCCAAGTTTCTAATAATTTCCACTCACAGCCTTAAAGCCTCACATCTTATCCTCCACTTTCCTGTAACCGGCAAACCCCTGTAATGATTAAAGCAGCAGATTGCATTCATGCCATTGAATTGCTCTAAGTAGGAGCTGTTTGGTTTTGTTCATTTCAGTAATTAAAATTGTGTGAATTCTGTTGTAATTCAGATTCTCATTTTATATTCATTTACACCATATGCAGTGACAGTCTAGAACAAACTGTCATTGTTGATGTAAACTTAATCATCAGAACCAAGCAAAATAAGTTTATGGACGTATTGTAATTGATACAGATGGTGGCAACAGACTTTTATAATTGGTAACAGCATAATGACAGCTAATGGTAGCCTCTGATTACATTTGATGGCAGAATTTTCTTTTTCCAATTGGTGGCAAGATCTGTTTGTTATACTCCTTTAAATATAAATGTTCATTCTTGTTTTAGAATTTCCTGAAGAGACGTGGGACCAGCGTTTATTCTTATTCCAAGAGACAATTGTTGAGAGGTTTGGATTTGTCCGGTGCACTGTGGAGAGCTCTAGTGTGAGCTCCCCCATATCAAGCAGTAACAGTGGCAGCACCCTGGCCCATCAGCACCAGTATGTGCACCTCACTGGCAATATGTTCATCCTCATACCATCCCAACTGTGCCAGGTTTGTTTCAAATTTTACATTCTCCATTTTATAAGAGACCAAGCAGAAGTATATGCTGTTCACCACAGTATTTTAATTGTTTATTTACTCATCATTTGCCTACCTGGAAGGACTGATAATTTTGAGTAAAGTGACTGGTCATGGGTACAACATTCACTGTTATGTCACATATAACTCTAAAATAACAACATAAAGTGCAACATCAGGGAGGCATGAGTCCCACCCTGGTAAGTTGAATCAGAGGGTGCCTGTCCCTTATCAGGTCATGGAAACCTGAAGAAATATGTGATGCCTCCATTTGAAGGATGCACTGTAACTTGTTTCTCTGACTTAATCCTTATAAGTGGTCCTTTTCCAGGGTTCTTTTCTTTTTCCTTCCCTTCTACTTTCTTTGTTCTTTTCCTCTTCCACTTTATGTCCCTTTCCTTTAGCATGATATTATTTTATTTTTATCTCTTCACCTCTGTCTTACTTACCTATTTCACTTTTCAATTTCATGTTCTCATTTTTATTAGTTTACATTACTTTCTGTTATTTTATTAAATGTTCCTTTACTTTTTCACCTTCACTTTAACCCTCTTCCCATCTTTCGGCCAGGTTCTTTTCGGGGCCACAGGTACTAAATTCAGTTACACTGCTCCCATTCATTTGTTTTTATCCCCAGTCCTTGTCCACCCTGCCCTATTTCACTGACTGTTCTCTTACCACATGACTTACTTTTCCACACTGAAATTGGAGTATCAGATGCCTCCCAGACATTGGTTCCTTTCTACCAAAATACCCAGTGTCACTTTCCAGAAGATAGTAATCTTGATTTCAATGACAAAGAAGTATACACGCTTCAAGGATGTTGGAAGAGATCTCTTGTTGATGCTTTAGAGCACAGCTTTACTAAAGACTTGTCTCATTTCTTTTTTGAATAAGGATTTCTTTAAACATTTTGTTAATATTTACAATTTGTAGCGGCCACACCACCGTAGTAATTCACTGTCACATGTTGGACGATCTGGGCTTGGAAGCAGGCAGTTAGGAATCCAGAATTCTCGAAGGTATCCTGTTCATTCCGATGCTTTGCCCAGTCCCCATGAGGAATACATCACAAGACATGTTAGTGGCAAGAACAAGGATGACTGTGGCACAGACATGAGGGTAAGTTGTTGAGCATTAAATCTGATGTTATAGTTTTTTATACTGTTAGGTATAAGTTCATGTGCACACATAAGTAAGTGTTCGTATGATTTACAAGTTACAAGGCCTCCTCCATGTAATGAATTTTGGCCATATGGAGGTAGATTTAGTATCCAGTGTTTCAGAGCCTGTCTCTGTCTCCATCATCATCGGTTGATGTGATGAATGATGTGGCCATGTATTTATACCCAAAGTATGCTGTTTGAATCTGATGTCCTCTCCAAGCATGGGTCACTGGAAGGGCAGTGGCAGAGTCAAGTGGTTGGTTATCATAGTCCTTATTGCTTATCTCTGACACTCTACGATGCTTGCTGTTTTTGTTTCTTTTTGGTTCTGATATTTTTTAGTGGCCTTATTGATTGAATAATGTTGGTAGCTGGATACCAAGAATGATTTATCCTGTATTTTTGTTGAAGTTGTAGATATATAGATGAATCTTGATGACGTGTTTCACTAAGCCTTCATGTAGCCAGTATCGTGATGTCTTTGGTGTTTCTCTGGAGCTCAGTCACCACCAACTTGTCTGGTTGCAATAGTTGTATGTGCAGTGCATGGCCCTTTCATCTCATCTTGATGGTGTGGGACAGCTGTCTGCTGTACATTGACCGCATTCACACTGGTTGCAGTATACACCTGGGACCTTAAGGCCAAGGTTGTCTTTCTTTCATCTCCAGTAAGATGTGCATTGGACAGATGAGCTCTGCCAACAAGATGAGGTCTAAGGCAAAGGAACATGAATGCCATGTATGATTATCCTAACCAGAAATTTGACAGTTGCCGAGCACTAGATGAACTTCAAAACCACAAGGTACTGTCTAGAATGTCAAGTTACATGGACTCCTTTGTGAAGGATATCATTGAGATCTGGCTACCTTCTGACAATTTTAGCAGAGATACAGGATTCTTTAAGTCACTCATGGTATCCAGCCACCAGCATGCTTCATTTAGGGCCACCAAGTAGCAATGGAATGAAGAACAAACAACAACCAGCATTCATGAGTGTCCAGGTTTAGCAGCATGAACTGTAATGACTTGATGCCTGACTCCACCTACTGTTCCCCTAGTAGTTTGCACTTAGACAAGACACTGGGCTCCAACAGCATGCTTTGGGCATAAATACAGTGTGCTGTCATGACTCTCATCACGTCAATTCATGATTATGGACACAGGCACCATCTCCAAAATGTTGGACACCAACTCCATCTTCACGTGGCTGAATGCCTAAGAAGACTTCATTCCACAAGTAAGTCATACTGTATAAGATTATGAACCCTGAAAGGAGCAATTCTAATGGGTTATTTCATGGCCAGGATTCAGCTCTTAGGAAAGGTGTCAGGACTTTCTTTGCTCCACCCCATCCAGAGAGGTTACTTTTATACTCTGAGCATAACCTATATTACTGTTTGACTCCTGTGCTATACCACCTGAGTAAAGTGACTGCCTGCAATCTGAACAGCTAGGGTTCAGTTTCTTGTAGGAAGGGGAATTCTCTTCATCATTATTGCAAAATGACTGCCAAACCTACCCAGCCTCTTACCCCATGGGTAAAAGGGGCTCTTTCCAAAGCCAAAGCACTCACCTTCAGTTCTTGTCAGAGTTTAAAACATATTACTTTCATTCTCTTTTCAGAATGGTGTGTTACGCAAGGGAACAGGGAAACCTTTCTCTTCACTTTAGCTCCTTAGCTGAGCCAGTTCACATTCTCTCAACCAAGTTAAATGTATGCAAATTGAAAGCTGCAGAATAGCGTAGTCACCAAAAGGACATTCTGACTCTAATGCGGGCTGCATATGCTTAGTCTGGGGCTTTCATAAAGAGTGTTTTGGAGGCATTTGATTCAAATCTTGATATGTATATCCAGACATGGGATTTTTCTTGTTTTCCTAAAGCCCTCCATTTGAATGCCAGTATAGTACCTGAAAATAAGCCACGAGTGTCTCCTTAATATTTGTATATTCTCCACTCTTTAATAACCTAATAATAAATCAGTATTTACCCATCTTTACTCATGCACTGTTAATTTTACATTAACATTTTGCACTATAGCTCTGCATTAACATGATTTTTACTACAATTTAATTTTACCAGATGGGATTCCTTTGGTCATGGAACCACATGGTTAGTCGACGTTGGAAGTCTTCGTCAACTCCTGCCACTGGTGATGAGATGTTTCAAACCAAAATCCTAAGAGATTTCCGTGAGTTCTGTGCCAATAGCAACAACCGCCTGAAATTGTTTTGGGATTCTTGTTGGGCCTTGAAAGAACAGACCTTTTAAAGTTCATATATACTGCGTATGAACCTAACATATGTTAGTACAGTCATTTCTGTATTTTACTATTTTCATACATGCTACAGACAACACATCTGCTGGCTGTTTGATGAAGATTTTAGATCGTGTTGCAGTATCAGTTTTTTTTTAGAACCTTTTCATCGTTATGGATGGAACAGTTTCACTGCGTAAGAAAGCAGTTTGTACATTATGAACAATTCTTCCAGCGCATTTCTAGATTTGTATAGTATCTATTCTGTTTTCAGGGAAAATTAATTGTAGGGTAAAGATTGAATTTCAAAAGGGGGGATATATACATATACACACATACATCACCTTCTCATTTTACAAGGGGAGTGCATTGGTTGAAAGGCATTCACTCAATGAAAATTAACTTCTTATCAATTAAAATACAAATTAGAGATGTGATTGCCTGAAATAATATGCATACAGTAATCCTTTGTTTAAGAGGGGGTTGTTACATTCTTACACCATTGTTATCAAAATCATGTTGTTTATGAGAAAGAAGTGTTAAAGGGAATTTATTTATGAAAAATGTGTACAGAAGCCAAAGGTTCAGTATAAACAAGTCGAGAACATATGCATATGCTGTAGGAAACTGCTTTTATTTATACCTATTGTACATATACAAAACATTAGAAATTAGTTGTACTGTGAAATAACTTTAATGCTATTTTTTCATCCTATTGTGTTATGTTATCAAGGTGTAAGATGACCATCTACATAACAATTGTTAGTAAAGTTAATAAACCCAAATAAAAATTAGTGGAAGGTCATTATTAATTATTATTATTTTTATTCTTTACCACTATTTGTTTTGATAGTCGTTCATAAATAAAATACACAGTTGCTGAATTGCAAATTAAAATGGGCCCATTTTTCACGATGAAAATGTCATAAAATTTTAAAATGTAAATGTAATCATGTAAAATGAAATTGAAGTTGGATGTGGTTTTATGTGTAAAGTTGGTTTGTATAATGTGGTGCTAGTAAATATTAACCTTTAACGTACGGACTTTTAAAATGTCGGGAGTCCTCTGTAGCTGGTATTTAAATCGCCCAAATTAATTAACATTGCAGACTTTCGGAAAAAAAAACATTTTCCGGTCTATGCAACATAGAAATATGAACTAAAAACAGCCTGAAAGACAATAAAATTTTCTACATATACACAAAAGAGAAACTTTTACAAACGAAAATTAACTGTGATTATTTTGTGATGAAATGCAAAATATAATCTGTATTATATAAAGTCCGAAAACCCAATATCTCTATGTATTATATGTGTTATGAAATTCCAAAGAACTTACCTGTTGTTTTTTCTACAACCTTGAATCATAGTGATATTGTAAATATAATCACACTATATACAATAATATTTTGTTCAGACTGTACATGAGTTTGAACTGTGTCACTTCACAGTTTACAATACTCACGCACTCTGATACGCGATGAAATTCTCGAAGCAGTCCACCTCACACAGAGCAACATCACACTTTTTACAATAGAAGAGCATGCTCCTGCTTTTCTTATTTAGCGAAACACACGAAAACGTCTTTGTTTCCCTTTGGTTGGCCAGTGTTGTGAATGTTTCACCTCCAGTCAACTCAGTTGGGCCCCAGATAACTTTGGCCTCCCACTAGAAACGCCACTGACCGTGATATTCAACTTTGAGACATGGCGATATTGTAAATATAATCACACTATATACAATGATATTACTGTATGCGAGTTTGAACTGCGTCACTTCACAGTTTATGATACTCACACTGACACGTGTGGCACTTCTCGAAGCAGTCCACCTCACACAGAGCAACATCACACTTTCTACAATAGAAGAGCGTGCTCCTGCTTTTCTTATTTAGCGAAACACATGACATCTTTGTTTCCCTTTGGTTGGCCAGTGTTATGAATGTTTCACCTCCAGTTGACTCAGTTGGGCCCCAGATAACCTTGGCCTCCCCCCCAAGAAACGCCATTGACCATGATATTCGCCTTGTGCGATTGAAGAATCATATTGTGGGAGGGGTGTTTCCAGCAAAATCGAATAAATTATGTTGACTGACAAAGCGACACTCTCACCTGTTAGTAATACTTGCAAAATAGTGATGCAAAGTAATTATAATACTAGTCGAAAAGAATGCCTGTCCAACACTGATACCGAAAGTCACAGTGGCAAAGATGCCTTTTACTCACAAAGTAATATTGTCTCAGTAGGTTTATACCTCTTCCAAGACACAAAATAAAAATGATATACAAAGAAATATGACAGACTGACACTGACTTTTTAACTGATAAAGAAATATGAGACAATATTATATTTGAGCATCCTGTTACACTCACACTATATATATGAGACAAACACTGTCTTAAGTGTAACAATTTAATTGTAGTTCTTTTTTCTTTCCTCCTCCACACTACATGTTTCGGCCCTAAATGGCCATCATCAGGTGTGTATTCTTACGTAGCTGTTACACTGCCTGTTAAAATTTAAAATCACCAGTCTTTCTAATTGTATAAAATCTTTGTTAACCTACACGCGTTAATT